TGAAGGAATAGGGAAGGGTAAAGTTTTGTTATAGAGCAAGTGTGTGGCATGTATAAGGCCTTGGGTTCAATCCCCAGCAGGTTCCCCCACTTAAAAAAAATAACAGCAAAATACTTGTAATTCTACTTCTCAGAGATAATCACTATGCAACATTTTGGTGTATTTTTAATTGTCTTTTAAAATAGAAATACAGCATCAGTAAATACCATTATTACTTCATTGCATGGATCTGAGGAAGAGGTTTCTTGGTGCTCTGTTAATGGAGATAATGAAAGGAAATGAGAAGCATACACATGGCTGAGCCTCTAATGAAGATAAGAAAGATGGTTTAAGGAAGAATTTAAATGTTCACTTAAGTACATTTTTTTCTTTGTCATTCTCAACACCCCATTATAAAACCCATCCACATTAGACTTCTGACAGTGTTACTGAGGATCACTGAGAATGATGTCACTGAGCATGTTCGTGATGGAATGTAGTTCAGAATTCATCTCTTTGTTTCTAGGCTGCTTAATAATTTTCCTAATCTAGGAAGAGTGCAGTTGTTTTATTTGCAAACAGTGACTATTTCAGTCATACACAAGACACAGGGCATGGTAGATGTTGCCATTGGCTGCAAAAGGCCTTTGTCCTTAATGATGAAACTTTTCCTAGCCTGCCCTCTCTGAAGCCTGGCAGAAATTTGGAAGGAGCTCTCTCAGAGTGAAATATCAGAATAAATGCTGGAACCTATACAGATGCCCTAACTTTAAGCTTCCCAACTTCAAAATTTCCATGGACCCTAGCAGGTTGAAAGGATATTGTGTGATTTGTGGGTGAAGACATTTTGCAGCATCTGAAAAAGTTTGATTTCCATCTCTTTTTTCTGTTTGTGAGTATTAGGAGAGGTATTTATTTTTTATTTTTTGACTCTGGGGATTGATTCCAGGGATGCTTTATCACTGGGCTACATTCCCAGCCCATTTTGCTTTTATTTTTGAGACAGGGTCTCCCTAAGTTGCTTAAGGCCTTGCTAAATTGCAAAGGCTGGCTTTGAGCTTATCATCCTCCTGCTTCAACTTCTGAGTTGCTGGGATTACAGGTGTGTGCACTGCATCTGGCTAGGAGAGGTATTTAACATCTTCACATTCTTATTTCTTGCAGTCCCTAATTCTTAAAATGTCTTTTTGGGGTGACCTCTTTTAATCCTTGAAGGAAATTTAGCTAATGGAACAAATGTTTCTGAACTCTTTAATCAGCATAGACTCGGATGCTTTTTTTTTTTTTTTAATCATTTGCTGGGCTTTTTTAAAAAAATTTTTTTTAATTGTAGATGGACTCAATACCTTTATTTATTTATGTATTTAGTGCTGAGGATTGAACCCAGTACCTTACACATGCCAGGCGAGCACTCTGCCACTGAGCCACAACCCCAACCCTTATGCTCTTTTTTTTTTTTTTCTCCTACTACTGACCCTGATCCATCCAAGTTCATCTTAGCAATTCTTTTCTGGAACAAACCTTTCTTAAGCCATGATGCTTTTTAGCTATTATGCTTATTGTTTTATAATTTGCTTCTAATTTAGGGGAAAAAAATAAAGTCTGGGGGAAGATTTCTAATTGTCCAGCTAGTTAGGCGTTAATGGCTTCCAGACCATGTCAAATACATTGAGTGGGTGATATTTTTAAGTTCAGGCTTCTTAATTCAAGGTTTTATGTTTTTAATCATGTATGTGTAAAATGCCAGTCTGCTTGCTACTTGGGTCTTGTTTTTCTTGGGAATATGAAATATAGAGCATATAGAAAGTGCCATGGAGTAAGATATAACTCTTCAGTTGTAAATTCTTCAACCCACGATTTACTTGGGGGAATAACAGCTCAGTTGGAATAACAAATGTACTGTTCACTGAGGAAGCATCTTTATTAGAAAGAAATGGAAAAAATGAACCTGAAGCAGTTAGAAAGGGATCATTAGAGGCAATATGTTGTGGCAGAAAACATACTGGACTGGAACAGAGGGGTATTACTTTTCTGGTTTTTTTTTTTTTTTTTGATACAATACCTTTATTTATTTGTTTATTTTTATGTGGTACTGGGGATCGAACCCAGTGCCTCACACATGCTAGGCAAGCACTCTACCATTGAGCTCCGGCCCCAGCCCCGGAGGGATATTTCTAAACATGACTTTATTACTGTCCTTCCCGGGGGGCTCTTTTGCCCCTTCATCTATAAAATGAGGAGGTTAGACTAAGATATTCACTAATATGTTCTGAGTTTATGCAAACAAACCATAAGTTTTTCCAAATTACAAATGCTTTGCTTAAGTAATTTTAGTAAAATTCTGTTTTAAGTAGTAACAGCGTTTCACCATAATGCCACTAAAACAAAGATATAGCATCTTGTTTGTAAATTAGGTACTGAAGGTTTTGACAACTTGGGGACTAGTTGACCAAAGGGAGGAAGCCCTTTTTAAGATTTCATTTGTGTTGAGAACTAGGTCCCTTGGTGAGATTTTCTTAGACACACTAAGTGCCCCTGATAAGTACTTCAATAAGGAGTGAGAGATTGTTATTTTAATCCAAATAGTTCCACTTTTGTCTTTATTGCATTTTTGGAATTCCAGACTAAGTTTTTGTGTGGGGTGAGGAAAGTTTGTGGCTTGAAAAAGTTTTGGTAGTTATTAGTTAGATGCTGTATAAAGGGGACCTTTCACTTCACTAGTGTGTCGATTTCTGTGATTAATCCAGCTCACTCTTTTCTGAGTTTAAGAATTGGTTTTTTTATGTAACATCTTGTGTATTTATAGTTAAGAGTATAAGACTATCTGTCTCACTTTGGAAGAACTGAGGATAGGCTGAAGAAGTCTCAAGAAACTCACTAAAAAACAATGTTGGAGATTTCCAAATAGCAGGTACCAACATGAAAGACCTGGCTTTGGAGAACTGTGAAGTTTTTATCCTGAAGCAGGATAGAACTTTGGTGAGGAGAAAGTGAAATAGAATCTGAGAGGGAGTTTTGAAAGCGGGAGTTCCTTTCCACAGGATGCATCCTTTTGCATGTCCACTCTCCTAGGGAGTATCTTCTTTGGACTCCAAATTTGAATGAATGCTGTTACCAGAAGTCTATTTTTACAGTCTTGAACTAGGTCATAGAATATCTATCTGTTAATTAATAGAAAATGTAAGTGAGAAGAACACATAAAGGTTTTACAGGGTAGATTATTCTGCCTCCAATTCTTATTTGTGGCTTGCTCTGTATAAAATCAAGTGTCATGTTTTAAAACTTACATGTAAAGCAGTGGGGAAAATAATTTAATTTTTAAAGCCTATGATTCATTCACCTGCTGCAGTCTGGTCCACAATTTTTCTGTGATGTCAGCTTCTTAGAACCACTTGTGTATATGAGGTCTAATAAAATAGATTGCAGTCAGTTTTTATTATAGTTTCCATTTTTAGTCACTTGGAACTATTAAGAAAGATTCTTAGGTAGTCAGAAAAGTTTATCCCTGGGTAAAAACTCTCCAGTTTGATCTATGAGAGAAATCCTAGATCATTTAAGACCTAATTTATTTCAAGGGTAGGGATCCATTGATTAATTCCATGATAAGGCAATAACAACCCTAGCACATATACACTAAAAATTTAAAAATTATATAATTACAGATCATAGTTCTCAATCTGATACAGAAAATGCAAAGGTATTATAATATTTAACATCCACTGCCCCCTTTTCTCCAGCACCAGGGAGAGCACCTGCAGAGAGTATGTGCATTCTTAAAGGCTTATATCACTTAGTCATTGTCCATGTCATACAGACCTTCTTTTGCATTGATGTTGTTATAGTAGTGTTACGAAAGCTATGTTGAAGGTATCAAACTTCTTTCAATTTTTAAGTGGCTAATTAAAAATGACTTCATCTCTTTTCCCCCCTTCTTCCATCTTACTATTCCTCAGTTTCTTTGCTTAGGTTTTCCCACTTTGATTTCTTTGCTTACAGACTATTATGTAAACAGAGCATTAGATCGAGAACAAGAAGATTAGAAACCTAGAGCTGTGGTTCATTCCTGTAATCCCATTGACTCCAGGGACTGAGATGGGAGAATTTCAAATTTGAGGGCAGGGCAGTCTCAGCAACTTCGCAAGACCCTGTCTCAAAAGCTAAAAAGGGCTGGGGATGTAGCTCAGTACTATAGTGCTCTTGGGTTCTATCCCAAGTTTAAAAAAAAAAAAATGGTGAAGGATAGAGTCCTTTCCTCACCTGTAGGTATACAGTTGTGTCACTTATTCATAGAAGAAGGTACTCAATTAAATAACGACTGCTATCTCTTTCAGACCCAAAAAGCTCTCCTGTCCTTTCTCCTTTTGTCTATAGTTCTACCTCTTCTCTCTTCTCTATCTCAGCTAGTTATAATATGTATAATTGCTTAAAAAGCTGGGGTTGTAGCTTAGTGGTACAGCACTGGCCTGGAATGTACAAGGCTCTGGGTTCAATCCTCAACACCTCCAAACAAACAAAGCTTTTATAATATAAACCCTGTTGTGAGGAAACATCAATAAATATAGTTGCTGGCAACATTTAGAGTATCCAGAAATTCTTATTTTGGTAGTTTCTCGCTTTGTTTGGCTTTTTTTTTTTTTTTTTCTTTTTGCCATTGTGGCTCATGCTTATAGTCTCAGCTACTCAGGATACTGAGGTAGGAGGATCACTTAAGCCCAGGCATTTGCCTTAGTCAAATATAACCTACGGTTATAAAGAAGTAGTCATATATTACTAGTATAAAAATGTACAAAACCAAAAGCAAGAACAGATAAAGAATTCATGAATAATGAAAAAGGCAAAAATATCAGCATAAAATTTATCAAAGGATTTAGGGAAACATTGTTTAGATAATATTTACAAAACTTCAGGATCAGATAGAAACCATAGTTTGGTCAGGGCTGCCAAGCACTTTATAGCAATAACTATACCCTTCCATTCTTTGTATGTCCTACTTACTCTTCTTACTTGTTTGTGCTTTACAGGTAACTCGGGACCAGATGAAGGTGTTTATACAACAAGAATTTAAGAAAGTTCAGAAAGTGATTGCTGATGAGGAACAGAAGGCTCTTCATCTAGTGGATATCCAGGAGGCAATGGCCACAGCTCATGTAACTGAGATACTGGCAGACATTCAGTCCCATATGGATAGGCTGATGACTCAAATGGCCCAGGCCAAGGAACAACTTGATACCTCTAATGAATCAGCTGAGCCAAAGGCAGAGGTAAATAAAAATGCCCATGATTACTACTAGTAAGAGAACTAGGAGGAATCTGATCACTATGTTCATTAACTCTGGAAGTATCCCCTTGTTGCCCCTGAACACAAATGAAATAATAGCTTGGATAAGGTGTACATGTTTTAACCAACGTGTAAACTAGTGTGGAAATATTCACCACTAGCGCTTGTACCCAGTGGCTGGGTTTGGAAATGAATTTTTATCCACCATGACTTAAAGAATTACCAGCAGTGGGGCAGATAACAATCCCAGTTAAGGAGAAAAGCCAGAAATCAGAACCAGAGAAAGGATCAGTGACACATGCAAGTTGTGAAATGAGCCTGTAAATAAAGTCCCTGTAGAGATGAGAACTTGGTTATAAATGAGAGCAAGTTAGGAAGAAGAGCATGAAGTAGGCCAGAATGAAAGATTTGGACTGACTCTGAGAATAAGTGAAAGAGTGCTTTAAGGTGGATCTTATATGGAATCAGCTGTATACATTGGGGTCATAAATGCTGGGTTGAGTGGCATGGATCTGGCATTGTGGCTCATGCTTATAGTCTCAGCTACTCAGGATACTGAGGTAGGAGGATCACTTAAGCCCAGGCATTCAAGACAACCTGGGTAACTTAGTGAGACCTTGTCTGAAAATTAGGGGACAGACACACACACACACACAAAAAAAAAAAAAAAAAACTGGGCATGATGGTACATGCCTGTGATACCAGTGACTTGGGATATTGAAGCAGGAGAATCATAAGGTTGAGGTTAGCCTTAACAACTTGATGAGACCTTCAGCAGCTTGGGATGTAGCTCAGTGAGTTAATATCCCTGGGTTCATTCCCCAGGACCCTGTCCCCACCAAAAAAAAAAAAAAATTTTTTTTAAATGTGGATGAAAGACACAAGGTAAATTTGAATCACCAAACATACTGTATCCATTTATTTTGTAACAGGGTTAAAATGGTCTTAGGTATATTAAGCATTTAGGATCTGTTTTTAGAATATTTCAAGGCAATTTTTTTTAAAAAACAAAGTTTATATTTCAGCCTCTAGGGAAAAGCTAGTGTTCTTCAGATTTCATAGTGTTAAGGTGAAGCTTTGGGTCAAATATATACCAGATAGATTGAAGGTAGCTTCTTCCAGAAGAAGAAAACGTAGGAGAGTCCTGTGGGCATTCCAGGACTGCTGCTGACTCAGTGAGCTCAGCCTTTACTGTGAGTTTTGCGTTTTGTTTGTTTGTTTGTTTTTAGAGAGAGAGAGAGAGACAATTTTTTTTTAATATTTATTTTTTAGTTTTTGGCGGGCACAACATCTTTGTTTGTATGTGGTGCTGAGGATCGAACCTCATGCAAGGCGAGCGCGCTACAGCTTGAGCCACATCCCCAACCCAATGAGTTTTGCGTTTGTGCAAGAGAACCTGGCCTCAAAATAAACCAGTGAATGGAAGAGTTAAGATGTAATCCAGGTTGCAGGTATTATCCAACCTGATAGAAAATAGGAGAGACAATTGGACCATTATTTGGTCACCTATCCAAGGCTCTTGATTAATTTTCATCAGTGTATGAAAAGGGTATTTCTTCTTATTTTAATTTCATCCTCCCTAGAACTAAGAAAGCATGTCACTAAATAAATTTCTAGAATGACAAGAGAGTACTTTATAGTCATCATTTCCTTTAACTCTACTATCAGCATTTATTAACTCCATTTGACAGATGGTATATTGAGATGCAGAGAACTGTGGAGAGTCTGACCCAATGTTATCTAGTAAGTAAAAAATAGAGCCAGGATTCAGTTAAGTTTGTCCTATTCCAGCACCTGTGCTTTCTCCCTAGAATGTTTTGGATGCTAGGTGTGTTTTTGTTGCTATGACGAAAATACCTGGCCAGAACAGCGTAGAGGAGAAAAAGGTTATTTTGAGCTTATTGTTCAGAGATTCATTTCACAAGCAGCTGACTCTAATACTCTGCGTGAGGCAAAGCACCTTGGCAAAAGGCATGGTGGAGAAAAGCTGCTCACTTCATAGTATCCAGGAAACAGAGACTCCAGTGATCTACTTCCTTTAGCCATGTTCCACCTGCCCACAGTTATTACCTAGTACAGTAGCCCTTTCAAATTACTAATCCACTGATTAGGTTATGGCTCTCATAATTTAATCCATTTACCTCCTGCATTAACACAGGGGCTTTGGGGGGACATCTCATATCCCAGCCATATGATTCTGCCCTAGCATCCAAAATCTTATGTACATCTCAGTGCAAAACAAGATACCCTATATTAATGAGTTGGTGGTGCTTCTTTTCTTCAAGAGTCTATATCCATAAGTCCCTATAGTCTTAACAGTTCCATCCTTCAAGATTCCTTCTCCAAGAGTTCCCATAGTCTTAACAGCTCATGCCTTGCCCAAAAATCCAAGTCCAAAGTGTCTTCTGAGACTCAAGGCAAATTCTTGGCTTTGAGCCCCTATAAAGATCAAAAGCAAGTTACATGTCAGAATGAACCCAACTTCTATGTATAACTACAAAGCTCTAATTTAAAAAGGAAAAAAAAAGCGCAAGTTACATGCATTTAGTATCACATCTAGTATACATCTAGTATCACAGAATAAACACTGAGCATCCCATTTGTATCTGTGGGAAAACTAGAATTCAGTGTTCTTACATGCCTAAGACACTGTACCATGTAGAGGTGATCATTTTGTATCTTAATAAATAAAAAAGTTCAACCAGATTTAACTTAAGAGATCAATAGTTTATCATTGTCTCAAATTGGACCCTTATATTTATTCTGTTTGTTGATTAGATCGTTCCTTCAAAATTAAAGATTTATTCTGTGTGTTGATTAGATCGTTCCTTCAAAATTAAAGATTTATTCTGTGTGTTGATTAGATCGTTCCTTCAAAATTAAAAATTGGATTTTGTGACATCCCTTTCACTTAGTCTCATTTCAAATAATGATTTTAGCCCATCTCACCATCATCTGTCCTTTAAGAACCTCAACTGACAGAATTACTCTTAGGAATGCAGGAGCTGATAAGACTTAAAGATCAGGCTGTGACAAAATAAGCTATTAAAATAAGAAGTAGCATTCAGCTGGCTAGAGCTGTTAGATAATCTCATAGCTTCTTGTTCCAATAAATCTGATAACTTACTGGTTAGAGCAAATATCTAGTACCTTTATTCAACAAAGAAATTCTTTTCTTCCCTTTGCATAGTGTGGTATTTAAAAAAATAATCATCTGCATTTTGAATTTAACCAGAAGATTCTTCTCAACATTTTGTTCTTCTCCAGCATACAGCAAAGTTTAAAGGATTTTATGGATTACACCCATATACCAACAATCTAGATTCTAATCCATTAACATTTTGCCAATCTTGGTTCATTGCGTTTCTAGCCAACTTTTTAACCTTCCACTCATCAGTCCTTTTTATTTTTAGTTGTAAAGCAAAATAGAACTTCTGGTTCTGAAGAACTATGAACACATTCCATTTTACTTCTTGTACTAATTATAGCAAAAGTCCTTGTCAAAAGTCACCTATCAGAAGACTTTCAAGGTGGAGAAAGATGGCATAATGACTGGGAAACTTGGGATTCAAGGAATGGCAAGGCAGTGAATTACTTTGGGCTTTTCCTTGATTCTTATGTGTCCTGTCCTGAGTACTCCACAAACTGGAAGCATTAATGCTAAAGACAGAAAGCAAATTCCCAAGAAAAGCCAGCTCTCTCTAATCAAAGGACTGGGAAAAGGGAGGTCTAGTTGTAGAGAAACACTTTCGATCATACGTGCTTATTCTGGAGATATTATGGGCATTTTTGTCTTTTGTACAGTTTTTAAAAGAGTACTGAACTACAATGAAATGATACTAGAAAAAAGTTGTTTCAGATGGGGGCATCATTTAAAATGATATATGTGTAGCTTAGCATTTGTTTTAAACTATGTATACTTTTAAAATTCTGAGTCAAGGCTTTTTTGAAAATATGATTTTGCTAATTGGAGTTAATTGCAATGTTTCTGGTATAAATCACATCCATACTGTACCATCTAAAATGTTCGATTTTATACTCTTTATACTGGAAGGTATACTGTTGAAAGTAAGCTGAATGCAAAAAAAGTTAGGTTTTTAAAAATTATTCTTGCATTTTGCATTCATCATCTACAATCAGAACTGCCACTAATTTTTTTTAAAGTGAGAGAGAGAGAAAGAGAAAGAGAGAATTTTTTAATATTAATTTTTAAAATTTTTCGGCGGGCACAACATCTTTGTATGTGGTGCTGAGGATGGAACCCGGGCCACACGCATGCCAGGCGAGCGCGCTACCGCTTGAGCCACATCCCCAGCCCAGAACTGCCACTAATTTTTAATTCCTCTATTGAAGCATTCAAATTTTCATGAAAACAACTTGTAGAAGCAATAGTTGTCACTCTTGTACTCATTGTTTTGTTAATTAATTAAATGTGTCATTATAATTACTAGCTCAGCTGAATAAGCAGGTTTGGGATTAAGTTTGTTTGCCTTGGTGAGGTAGAAATGGAAGGTTACATTAGAGGGTGGCCTGCCGACCAAGAGCATTGAGGATGTTTTAAGAAGGAATTTGGGAACATGGCTTAATATAACAAGTCCTTTAAATGGAAGTTAAACAGATTATCATTCCTAATATTTTTGAAACCAGAGTGAACTCATAATAGCAGTAGAAATTAATCTTGAAACCAACAGTTTCTTGCCCCTTCTCTTTTTCCTGAGTAAATATTTATTATGTGTCTTGTTCTGTTATTAGGTGCAGTGAATTCTCAGGGAGTTGAAATCCAAAGAGGGAAACACTTTATGATGCTGTCACTGTTGGTTTTCTTTTCTAAGTACTAACCCAGAGGATGAACTATACAGATACGAAGGACAGAGGAGGATTATGTGACTCAAGCGATTAGTGAGGAAGTTTCTGAGTAAGAATTGATCTTACAGGATGGCTAGAATAACTAGACTTTCAGAACAGAGATGTACATTTTGAATAGCAGGAACAACATGTGCTCATCTTTGCTAGCAAGTTAGCAGGCATTTGAATGTCTGCTGCCCTATTCAAAATGGCCCTATATGTCATGTGTGTGTGTTCTTTCACTCATTTATCCATCCCTTCATTGGTAAAAAAATCTCATTCTGGCCTTCCTCATGCTTTGCAATAGTGAACATTATTTCTGAAAAGAAGTATGCATCTATAAGCAGAAGAAATGAATGAACCAACAACTAGATATTATCATGTCCTATGTCCTGTTCTTTCCCACTCTCCCTGTGAAATGTTATTAATAATTCAGAGAAAGTACAATAACAACCACCATTTGTTGAATACTTAAAATGTGGCAGTCTCATATTTATAGTTTTACACAGGTTTTTCTCATTCATTTTAATCCATATACTGACCCTTGGTAAGTGTTAGAATCTCCATGTGCAGATGAGGAAAGCATAAGTTAAGTAAATTGATAAAAGCTTAACTATTAAAATTAATTTGAGGCCATGTTTTTATAATTCCAGTTTCTTAACCCTGGCATCAAGATGTGAAATTGTGAGAAGGAAAAAATTTAGATTTTTTTTTCATAAGTTATGTTTCAACATCCTAAGAGCTAAGTGCAGTGGTGCATACCTGAAATTTCAGCAACTTAGGAATCTGAGGCAGGAGGATTGTAAGTTGAAGGAAAGCCTTAGCAACTTAGGTTGACCATATCTTTAAAATTAAAAAAAAAAAAGGACTGAGGATGTTCCTCAGTTGTAAAGTGGTCCCTGGGTTCAATCCCCAATACCAGAAAAATAAGTAATTAAAACTTCGAAAGATAATTGAAAAAAATGTGTTGAGATTTAATTGTCATAGATTGTTTTGTCACTCATAAGAAATTTAAATTATATGACACTTTTCTTGATGTATTACAGTTTTTATGGGATATACCAATGCAATAAAATACAAAGAAAGTTTTCATTGTCCTTGTATTTGGCCCTCCACCACTCACCCCACTTTCCTCACATTGTGAATACAGATGATTACCACCCCTATTAATATTTTAAATCCATAATACTCTGATGACTTCTTGCTGGGTGTGGTGGCAACTTTTTACTTGGGAGCCAAGGCAGAGATTCACCATTTCAAAGCCAGCCTCAGCAGCTTAATGAGTCCCTAAGCAACTTAGTGAGACCCTGTCTCAAAATAAAAAATAAAAAGGCTGGGGATGTGGCTCAGTTGCCCTTATTTAACCTCCAGTGGGTAGTCTGATTAAACGCAGCATTCTGGCTTCAGCTGTCCTTTATAGGCTTGCACCTATCTTGGTAGACTCCTTTTATGTCAGTTATACTCTCAAACTTACCCCCACTTCCCCTTTTCTTAAGTTACACAGAACTCAAAATTTTTTTAACTGTATATTTATTTATTTGTGTGTGTGTGTGTGTGTGTGTGTGTGTGTGTGTGTGTGTGTGTATTTGAAACACCTTTGCTCTTGCTAGTCCAATGTTCTTCCCATCTTTCTCTGTTGTCAGCCTAGGAAAATTCTACTTACCTCTTAAGTGGCAATACATGTGTCATTTTCCCTGTGAAGTCTTCTCTTGGAGAGGCAATGTTTATTACTTTACTTTTGACTCTTAAAGCATTGTGTTTATGTCTTTTTAAGAGCCCCTAACATTTAATTCATTTTCTGTTTCCCTTTCTGCTGATTGGAAGCTTCTAGAAGGTTGGATCATTATGGGTTATTTATCTTTTATTCTTAGCACCTACATACACTTAATTTTAAATAAATCAAACTGAATTGCTACTGATATTCATAAATAACCTTTATGAAGTATATCCTTTGTCTCAGGCACTATGCTTAATAATTCTAGTCATTATTTAATCCTTGTACTCACCTTGTGATTCAGAGATAGTTATTGCCCCATTTTACAAATTCGAAAATTGAAGTTAAGAGAGGCAAACTACAGTAACACCACAAGCAAGTGTTGAACTCAAAATTTGGACTCTCGCTCTAGTTCATTGTCTTTAGGAATCCTTCATTTTCATTTATTCATTCTCTGGGAAGTATACCAGAAGATACATTCTATATTGAGACCATTACTGAATGACTAAAGAAGAGATATAAAAGATATTCTGTCACCAAAATAAGCAAGCTCTCTCGAGAAATGCTTAAGAATCATTTGAACGATCTCATTTGGTCATAAAGACCCAAAGGAGGGCTGGGAATGTAGCTCAAGCGGTAGCACGCTCGCCTGGCATGCGTGCGCCCTGGGTTCGATCCTCAGCACCACATGCCAACAAAGATGTTGTGTCCGCCGAGAACTAAGAAATAAATATTAAAAAAAAAAAAAAGACCCAAAGGAAGCAGCTGTGATTCTTGAGAGAATAATAAACATTTTTGCAAAAGAGTGAACAAGAAAAAGAAAGCTATTTGTTGGCTAAAGTTTGATATGGTTCATCAAATGCCAGAACTACTGTCTTACAGAGAAGACCAAAGTCTAGATTAATTCATTATCTTGCCCAAGGATGCATAGTTAATAAGTTTCAGAGCTCAGACTAGAATCCCAATTTCCTGAGTCCCACTTCTGTATCTTTTCTACCTTAGCATCCTATATATTAGAGTTTCTATGTTCATGTTTGGATAAAAAATGCTAGACCAAGGCAGAAATAAAGTCTTTGAAGGAAACAGCTTGATGCTTTTGGAGCTGGTCAGCTTTTGCCTATGACCTGCTGCTATTTTGAGGCTCTCTGTTTGCTCAGAATCAAATATTACTGGTCATACAAATAAAAAGGCGAGGCCATTATTTAGGCCTCCTAGGTCTATGCATTCATCTCTCTGCTTGCAAGAGCAAATTATCAGTTGATTTCTGCTGGGCAGTTTTAATATAGGATCACATTAGTTCTTATCTTAGACCTTGGACATCTGTTGGTTTGTCTTTGTTACAATAAATGCACAATGTTTGCTTTCAGGATGGGAAAAGAAAATCTAAATTGGTCTCTGCCAATAATGATTTCTAAAACTTATTCTTTCTCTTGTCTTTCAGGGTGACGAGGAAGGACCCAGGTAAGATCACATTACTGTTGCTATCTATTCTCAGAATTCAAGTAGAGTGATATTTGTGGCCTTTTAATGCCCCATGAAATATGAACAGCCAAGGAATGGCACAGAAAAGGGATCTCCATTTTCAGCCAGGGCTTTGAAGACCTTATCTTGTAAGACTCCTATCTCTCTCCCCATCTGTATCATTTCCTGCCTGTAACCTTCATATAAAGGTAGATTCAAAAGTATGTGATGACAGTGACTTTTCTTTATTCTCTAGCACATTCAGAATATCTTTTAAGAGCAGGCACTACATTTGAATGGTTAGGTGGATCCACTTAATAAACTTTTGCTTGTTCTTTTTTGATTGGAATTGGATTGTTTTATTCTTTAAAATTCTATATTCTAATAAAGAATACTGGATCTATAGCCAGTATTCTTTATTTCTGAACTGTAACAATTTTATATCTTACCCAAGTCTCTGAATTCTAGGACACAGGTGTAAAAACTTTGTTTAGGGGAAAAAAATGCCATTGTTATTTCTGTATCCACAGTTGGATAAAATTTAAAAGTAGATTTCATGATTGCCTCAGCCTTGCAGTAAACCTAGATGTTAGTTTACTTACCTTTTCTGTCATGTAAACAAACTAGGAAGTGCTACAGCTGTGCCATCAACACAATCTAGGGGTATTTGTACCATGTAAAATCACATAGGCTCAAGGACTTTTAAGGTTGGGAGCAGAAAGGTCATCTAGCTACTGCCATTTAAACTATTTTTAGCAGAAATACTCTTTTTAAGTAAGACCTCAAGTTGTAGAACTATTTTTCTCTATTTAAAGTTAGGGCCACATCCATTAGTGAACCTTCTTTCTTCATCTCAGTAGACCCTGAGGGACTTTTGCAGAGACCAAGGTTCCTCAGAACTCAGTTTGAAAATCACGTAGTTCAGTTCCCTCATTAAGAGAAGCTAAGCGAGTTGTCCAAGATTAACTGACGTTAGCAAGGATATGACTTTTTAGTTTTATTTCAAACCAACAAATTCAATTTTTTATCTCTTTCTCTTTTTTTTCTTCTTCCTCCTCACATCCTAAATCCTTTCTTAAAGTTCTGAATGTTATCCCACATCTGCATTTCCTGGTGCTTCCTTCCATTGGAAACTCTGGTTCTCAACCTCCACTCTAGAACTGCAAGAAACTATCTAGTGTCTTATCTGCTGTAGCTAAAGCCACAGGCACCCTGCTTTAAACCTACAGAGCCTCAGGGAGTCCCTTCTGTCTTCCAGCTATCCTAAGGAACATGTTCCTTCCGTGTTGTGGTTTCCTCACCTCCTTTCTGTTTATCTATTTAAAATATATTTGTGACCTTGTTATGGTCCAGGCCCTGTGGACATATAAGGCAGATCCCTATTTATGTGGATCCAGAGTCCAGACAGGTGAGCATATAACAAGCGCTTACGCTGTCAGGGAAGTGATAAAGAAAGTATAGGCTACTTGAGGAATGGCTCCTGGTCAATCTTGGAGGAAAAGGGGAAGCTTACCAGACATAAACAGAGGTCTGAATGATGAGAAAGCAGGCAAAGAAGGAGCATGGATCAGTTGTAGATAGAGAAAAACTTGTATAAAACTTAGAGACAAGGGAATAGAAGAAAGAAAGCAGAGCCCAGATCATTTAGGACTTCAGAAAAAAGCTGGGTATTGGGCTTTATCCTGAAGTCAGTAGAAAGCCACTAAAGAATTTTTAAACAAAAATTAACTTGAGCAGGTTTGCATTTTAGAAGTCTACATTTCCTCCAGAATGGAAAACGAATTGGAGGTGGGTCAGGTACCTAGGAGACTGGTGTAGACTAGGTGTCTTAATTTAACATTTTGTGTTCTATAGCAATTTACCTAAGGCTAAGTACTTTATAAAGAAAAAATCTCAAGTTCTGGAGATTTAAGGACTTGGCATCATCATCTGATTGGCTTTGGTGAGGGCCTCATAGTAGATGGCATCACAATGGTGGGAGCATGTGTAGAAGAGAGATTCAGGGGAGGTGCCAAGCTCCTTTATAACAACCTATTTTCTGGGAACATATCTAGCTCCATAAGGCCTGCATTAATTTCTTCTAAGGGTGTGCCCCTGTAACCTAATCCTCCTTCATTAGGCCCTCCCCCTTAATGTTTATACCACTTGTCAAACATCACCACGCTGGGGACCAAGTGTCCAGCCCATGAACCATTGGAGGACTAATTACATCTAAACCACATCATTAAGCTACCAATGATGGGAACCTAAATCAGTATCTCTTCTGGTTATTGACAAGGTTTTTACCATTTTGCATAGATGTTTGATTCTTCTTGGCATTTCACCTCTTCTGTTTTCAATATTAGCTCTACCTCCTATTTTTTTTTGCGGGGAGGGGGTACCAGGGGCACTTAACCACTGAGTCACATCCCAGCCCTTTTTACTTTTTGTTTTGAGGTAGGATCTCACTGAATTGCTTAGGGTCTTGCTATGTTGTTGAGGCTGGTTTTAAACTTGTGATCCTTCTGCCTCAGTCTCACAATCCACTGATATTGCAGGCGTGTACCTCTATGTCCCGAATAGCTCTAGCTCCTTAAAATCTAGAAATCCAGGCCAAACATAGCTCTACATCTTCTTTCCCCAGAAAGAGAGTTTAAACAAGACCATAATAGAGAAAATACTTTAGCAGAGATAATGTACAGGCTCCACAGGATGCAAATGGCATTTTTGTTATGAGAGAACTTTCTTAGGCTGAACACATTCATCTTTCTGGCCACATTGATTAAAAGAATACAAGGACCTTAATAAGAGACTAACTCTCGTCAAAGATACTATTTAGTATGAACTACTGACTCTGGAGTTTAATTGTAGATACCTTCGTGCCACTTTGACAAGGCAGTGGTGAGCCATAGAGTTTTATTACTAGCAACCAAAATGTCAAGCTGTCTTCCTTGAGCTGGGCTGCCATGGTTGTCAGCAGGTTTCTCCTGGACTGGGACTTGACAAAACCCTTTTAGGGTTTTGGTACATTGAGCTCTTAAAGAGCATGTTCCAGTTTACCAGAAAGAGGGAAGAGGAGTCAAATTTATACTTGTTGGTTCCATTCAGTTTATTTGTATTAACTATCATTTGGCCCAATTTATACCAATTAGCACTTCAGGGCAGATTGCCTTTCATATGAAATTTCTCATTTATGATATGTACTTTACCATTTCAACAAGACAAACAAAATTTTGTTCTAGCAACTTCTGTATTACTGATAGTTGATGCATAAGGGTAGCAGATAAGAAATGTGGGTCTCTCTTCACAGAAGATGGATGAGGAATGACTCTGGAGACCTTGAGTTCAAATTCTGCTTGGATTAGTATGCCTACTAGTATGCCCATTAGTATGCCTAGTGTGTCCTTTGCTGACATTATTTCCACCTCTTCTTACTCTCTACAGAGTAGAGGAAAAAATAGATTTCAGTTGGTCTTCAATCAGTGGAAGGAACAAAGGAATATTCCTGTCCTATGGAAATATATTTTCCTACAATAGATCTTCCTCCATTTCTGCCAGCTGGAGTCTTCTTGCCTTCTTTTGATTTCCTGAGCTATTTGATATGAGGTGAACAAATACCGGGCTTTTGGTCTTGTCTGTTCCTGGACCTGAGGATTATTGTATAGCTGTCCTGTTAATTAACAATTATTATCATCATCACCATCATCATCATTTTAGCCACTACTTATTGAAAGTTTATTAAGTCTAAAGTACTTTTGTATATTCTCATTTAATCCTCATGTAAGGTTTATGATGCAGTTAACTCACTTGTCAAATTTGTAAATGCTTGGAGAGATTAACTTGCCCTACTTTACGAGTCCAGTAAGTAGCCAGAGGCAAGACCTGAATTAGTCTGGTTTCAGGGCTCATACACTCAACCACTCTTTGGACTATCTCCAAGAGACCAACACACTTCTCTCTGACCCTGTATGAAAGCCAAGAGGATTCACACACAGGACTCAGAGGATCACTTTTGTTTGGTTCTTTTAATCTGTGAGTTTTTAACTTGTTCTGACATTGAATTGCTGTGGCTTCTTGTTTTTACAAGCGACTTCTCTCCTTATCCTCTACCATTATACAAATGTATTTCTTTATCTCATCCTCACATAATATCCTCTGAGCTTCAGCAGCAAAAGAGGTCCTCTCTGTGGAGCAGCTAACCAAGCTTTCCTTTGACCCCATAGAACAGCTGCTGCCTGTTGCTCTTCATGTGATAATTTACTTTTCAAATCCATGACATACACTCATGTAGCTGGCAAAGATTTTCGGAGGGCTTGAAGGAGCAAAAGCCCTAATATGTAGAACATGGATATTGACTGCAGTGGAGTCATCTTGATAATAGGGTGTCTTTGAAGCCCAGAGTGATTTTTTTCCCTCAAGCAAAAAAGCAATTTACACTTTGGCAGCAATTTTTTGTCTTCTCTATGCTATTATGGGAGATCTTGTGTTTGCTCCCTCTACAGATTGGCTCCTTCCCTGCTCCAGCCAGAGCCTGCTGAGAAGTAATATATATTGGAGGAGAAGGGATGGCAGTATGATCTGCTGGTGGGAAAACAGTTGTGCAGAGGAAGGAAATCAGAGGGAAAGACCCTTAAACTCTTGTGCTCAGAGGAGAATGAGCAAGATCAGGATTAAATTTTGATTTGCTATTGAGATTTTCTATGATTTTTTTTAAACTAAGAGGAAAATGGCTTTTTAATAGTAACAGCCATTCTTGGAACTTCTGTAGAATTTTTCATCTTCAAAGTTGGCTGTTATTCAGGCAAAATCTCCTGCTGAGATCAGTATGAATGTGACCCATGCTGATTCTATGATCCTACAGGAAATGTATTCTGAAGAAGTAAGAGCCAGAGGAGTCAGCAAACCTGGCTTCTATTCTTGATTCTGCCACTAACTGACTGACTGACTGACTGACTGTGACCTTAGGCAAGTCATTTAATTTTCATGTAAATTTAGCCTCATTTCTCCTCACTCCCACTTCT